TAATTCACATCTTCTCAACTACTGAAATAGTGCAATATAAGGTCTCCCTGACTGTCTTGTCTGTCTTCCAAACAGCCATCAAAGTTACCAAACTACCATGCAAATCTAGCTTTTGCTACAAAACCCAAAACTGCCCAGAAAAGAAGGTGCAAGTTCCTTCAAACAGAAGGAAGGCCCTCCGTAATCTTGCCCGTGCTTATCTTTCCAGCTTCACTTCTTTTTACTCACTTAACACACCATGGTCCTTCTTGTCTCAGTATCTGTCTTCATCTGTCCTCTCTGGCAAGAATGATCTCTTTCTACCTACCTCCTATTTATCATTTAAAATTCAAGAATCACATCCTCCAGGAAACCTCTGACCTCCTTAACTAGGTTAGGGGCTTGTCTTTTATAAACCTACTTGACTGTATTTCTACCAATTCACATAATCATATGGCATCATTATGATCTTTTTTCCTCATTAGTCAAAGCAATGGTTTTTCCAGTAGTCATGTACGGATATTAGAGCAGGACCATAAAGAAAGCTCAGTGCCTAAGAATTGATGTTTTTGAGCTGTGGTGTTGGAAAAGACTCTTGAGAGTCCCTTGGACTCCAAGGAGATCAAGCCAGTCGGTCCTAAAGGAAATCAGTTCTGAATATTCATTGAAAGGACTGATGCTGAAGCTGAAACTCCAATACTTTGGCCACCTGATGGGAAGAACTGACTCACTGGAAAAAAGCCTGATGCTGCAAAAGACTGAAGGCAGGAGAAGGATATGACAGAGGATGAAATGGTCGGATGGCATCACCGACTCAAAGGACATGAGTTTGAGCAGGCTCCGGAAGTTGGTGATGGACAAGGAAGCTTGGCATGCTGCAGTCCGTGTGGTGGCAAAGAATCAGACACAACTGAGCAGCCGAACTGAAACTGAACATTTCATGTCTGGAAGACTAAAAACAATTGCTCAATGGGGGCTTCCTTGGCTCAGACAGTAAAGAATCTGCCTGCAATGCAAAAGATGTGGGTTTGATTCCTGGGTCGGGAAGATCCCCTGGAAAAGGGAATGGCTATACCCACTCCAGTGTTCTTGCCTGGAGAATCCCACGGACAGAGCAGCCTGGGGAGCTAAGGCAAGTAGGGTCGCAGCAAGTGAGACACAACTGAAGCGACTTAGCACATATTCATCATCGCCAACACAAATCGCCAACATTCATCTATAAAAAGCATACTTGGCTCACTGAGGACCCCAGAACAGACAGTAGGCCAGATCTAGCCTGTCTGTGGGCCTTAGCCCCTCACTTAGCAGGGCTGACCCTTGAACAGCACAGTTTTGAATTGTGCGGGTCTGCTTAGAAGCAGATTTTTTTTTTTCAACAGTAATGCCACAGTACTACAGAATTCTGGCTTGTTGAAAGCACAAGAGCCCAGGATGTGAAGGAATCCCATACATGGAGAGTCCACTGTAAGTTATCCCTCCCAGGGGCCCCTAAAGCTGCCTCACCGCGGTGTTCAAGGGTCAACTATATAAGCGACGGAAAACATAACGCTGCCTTGAAAGAAGTACTTTACAGTCGTTTGCCAGATTAAAGTGAGGAACAGCATCAGGCAGGAGAGGGGAAGCAAGACGGTTCAAAAGCACGGATGCAAGAAGTGACGTGAAAATGAACAGGAAGAAAATAATCAGAGAGTGGTAACAGTCTGAAAAAACCGGGACTGAAGGAAAACTAGATACTACTACATCACAAGGCAGAATACCAAAAGTATGTATAAGTAATATACAGAAAACACAACGTTCAGACGAGACTTTAACTGGGAGGCTACCAGAAACATTCAAAGCGTGCATTTCAGTTGGGCATTTAATATAATATTAAAACTAATTAACCACTTAATAAGAGCGGGCACTGCAACCTGAAAGAATCACATAAGCAAAGACAGAGATGGAAATCCGCCTACTACTTTGAAAGGGTGTGGATTACTCCAGGGACTCATAATGATGGACAGTAGGTGTGGACAGTGACCGCAGAGGAGGAAAATCTAGATCGAAACTAAATTGCGAGGATCCTGAGAGGTTGCTTAAGAAGTTTAGCCACTCCGCGGAGACCGGGAAGCCCTAGGGAAACATGCTAGATACCAAGAAAGGCCTGACGTGAGTCTGGGGTACCCTCGTTGGGAGCCCCCTTTACCTACCTCCGTGGGCCCGGACGGTCCGCCGAGACACCCCAGCGTCAAGGAGAATTTCTTGGACTCCGCCAGTCCCCTTCCTGGACTGTGCAGGAGAACATGCAGAAGATCACGTGGATACTGTAAGAAACCCCTGAAACACGCCGCGAACTGAAGAGCCCGTCGGGTCGCACGAAGGTGACGTCAGAACGCAGGCTCTCGAGACGCACGCGGCCGGAGTGACGCAGGGGCGGGTCCGGTGGGCGGGGCCATGGTGGAGGAGGAGGCGTGGCCAGAGGGCGAGGCCAAGGCCTGATAGACCCAGAGCCGTGGCTGAAATGACGCTATCTCCGTAGTTACTGGGAACGTAAAGATCGCGCAGCACAGCGGCGGGAAAATACCTGAAAGTCCTCTCGGCTGCAACGACGCTGAACGTTTGTGGCCGGAAACCGAAAGCAGAAATCGGAAGTGACGTCGCTATCAAAACAAGCCGGGGCTTGGTTGGGGCCCTGCAGTGAGTCTGGCCGCAGATGGAGAGGCCCGACTCTCTGTGGGCTGTTGAGCGTGGTCGCCAGGCCCTGCGCCCCCACCCGGGCAGCCTCCAGTCCCTGTTCCCGGGACCAGCCCGCCGCGGTTGAGCCAGAGTTTCCGCCCGCCGTGCCGGAGCCGCGCTGGGATTTTTTTCGGGCAGAGCTGGCGGGTGGCGACAGAGCGAGACTTCCCTCCCTGCCACAGTCTCCCCTCCAGCGGGTTCCTGTCCTGGGACGCCGGGACACCTGTCGCCTGTGAGGCATCATTCATTCTCATAGCACGTTCCTTTCCTCGTAGGGCAACTCCAGGATGAAGAAGAACGGGGGGCCGGCGGTTCCTGTTACTAGCACCCACTGGGGAATAACCCAGTTGCCCATTTTATTTCGTTAGGGCCGCTCTCCCCTTCTCCCTAGGCTCTGACAGGTTGAGGTGATCCTAGCTTTATCTCTTTTTTTCTCACCGCCTCCTCTTCTGGATCGTCTCCCCCTGCCCGCCCCTTCTTATACTTCAAAATTACGGCTTAACCGGTCAGTTTTGCCTCTCCTCCTCTCTAGGCTGGTGCTAAGATTAAAGCGTTCTATTTCCACTTGGTTTAGAAAGAATCGGTTTCTTTTGCTTTAGTGCTGCTTTTTATTTTAATGAACGGAGTGATGGGAGTCAGGAGCTCCCTGTTTCTCTTCTCTACGGTGGACATTGAGTATGATTACCTGCCCTGACTACTCAACGGATTGTTACAAAAATTAAATAAAAACATTAAAAGGATTGTTATAAAAATCTTGGAAGGTGTTTTAAAACTGTAAACAGGGGCTATCTGTAAAATGTGTGATTTGCCAACTTTTGCTCCACTGTGATCCTCTTTTAGTTCCATTTAATTACAACTTTATTTTTTTTAATTTTTTTTAATTACAACTTTAAAACACCCGGCACCCTCAAAATTTCTGAGGCAGTAAGACTTAATATGATAAAATTGTTTTGTTTAGTCCCTAAGTCCTGTTCCACTCTTTTTGCGACTCCGTGGACCGCAGCCTGCCAGGATCCTCTGTCCATGGGGTTTCTCAAGCGAGAATACTGGAATGGGTTGCCATTTCCTTCTTCCCGACACGGGGATTGAACCCGCATCTCCTGCATTGGCAGGCGAATTTTTTTACCACTGAGCCGCTGGGAAGATTATGAAAAAATTAACTGAATGCTATTTATTTTCTTCCTTTCTCGGTGACTATATATCTAGGACAATTATATATCTTGGAGTTCTTTCTTTAGAAGCAAATTTAGGTACAAAAATGAAATTTCTCTTCAGATTATATATATTAAGGTCCATAGGAAAGTGCTAGTGATTACCTTACTGAAAACTCATTTAAAACAGTGGTGAATGACTCAGTAACAGGTGTGCTTATAACCTGTATTTTGAGAATTCACATTTATTGGATTTATGTCTTGACAATCAATATTTGGTTAAAAATCATTAACCTTATTTCTTAATACTTATTTCAAAGATTGGGGCCAAAAATTATACTTAAATCTTAATATCCTAGAGATGCTAAAGCAAAGGAAACCAATTCATAATCTATTTTTTATTTTTCATATTAATAAAAACCTGGATTAAGTTGCTAACACTTGATCTGAACAAAAACTTATTGATAAATATGTCTTCAGTTATCATAACCAAGACTTTGTAAAGCCTTTCACTACTCAGGAATCAAGGATACTGTAGTTGCTGATACATTTGGGTACAAATGGGTTCTACCTTTTTCTTAAATTCAAACTGAGAGCCAGTTATAAACAACATGTTAAAAAATGAACTCAGAGGTTAATATTTTTTACATGGAAAGTTTATTTTTGTTGTTAGCCTGATTTTTAAAAAATCCTGTTGGTGGTATTCAGTAATAAGAAAGGGACGGTAAGGGTAAGTACAGTTGGTTGGGACCTAGCAATGGAGGTGAAAGTGTTACTGTATTTCATCTGATCTTTGCCAGGATTCTGTGAGATTATTGGTATATCCCCACTTTACAAGTGAGACTGAGGCTTAGAGAGGTTGAGGAACTTAAACAGATTCACATCAGCTAATAAATGGTGAAACGTGGACTCAGACCCAGGTTTTTCTACCTCTGAACATTGTATGCTTTTTATTATCTATCGATGCTTGTAAGAGCACTGTTTATATATGTGATTGAAAATGATTATTTTCTGTACGTTAAGTTGATATATTTTTAATTTTTTTCTTTCAGATGTTTTAATACCCAAATTCAAAGAATACATAGTATACCATTCTTCTCAAACCAAGAGGAAATCATGAAGGAATGTTTTAACTGTTGAAACTCAGTTGAAATCATGGCTACATCAGCAAATCTGGATATTGGAGCGCAGCTGATAGTGGAAGAGTGTCCTAGCAGTTACAGTCTAAGTGGCATGCCAGACATTAAAATAGAACGTCAGCTGGACTCGAGTGCGGAAGAAGGACCGGCTCAGGGCGTTGCCGTGGGGATGAAGTTCATACTGCCTAACCGGTTTGATATGAATGTCTGCTCTCGGTTTGTGAAGTCCTTAAATGAAGAGGACAGTAAAAATATTCAAGATCAGGTTAACTCTGACCTGGAGGTGGCATCTGTCCTATTTAAAGGTTGAAAGTTATGGTATAAATATCTGCATTTGTTTTGTTTTTGTTTGTTTTTTCCTTTCTGTTCATGAAATTTTAGTTTGGGAAGAGAGTTTGGAAGTCACCTTTTAATATGGTTTTCTAGAATCTCACAGAAACCAGAATTAAATAATTTCATGTTATATAATGTCCATAAGTACATGCTGATTTTTTATTTCTTGCTTGACCTATGTTTACTTACAAATTCTCTACTAAAGTTTCTTATTGTACCTTTTAAAATTACAGGAGAAAAAAATATGTGCCTTTTATAAATGAATTAATACCATGAATATGTGATTGGCATTAGCTTTCTGTGCTTTAATGCAGTGAAATCTATCATCATACTGTAGATTTACTTTTATAACCATCTATTGAATAAAAAACAACTTCTCTTTGGATAATATTGCTCAAGATTAATATTGATTTCTTTTTTCTGGAACTTGTACAAATTTTTTATGGCAAAAAATAATGTCACTTGAGAACCAGTTGAAGATATTATACATCTTATATTTTTTTAATGTAAACATTGACATAGAACTTTGAAATGCTTTGTTGTTAAAATATTGTTTTAATGTGTTTAAATTAATTTTACCTAGCTGAATGCAATATCCATACATCTCCTTCTCCGGGAATTCAAGTAAGGCATGTCTATACTCCGTCTACAACAAAGCACTTCTCACCCATAAAGCAGTCAACTACTTTAACCAACAAACACAGAGGAAATGAGGTCTCAACCACACCTCTATTAGCAAATTGTAAGTATTTCCCACTGCTGTATGAAAATATTGTTATTGCTATTGTAATAGTTTCAAGAATTTGGCTTTGAAACATTATTTTCATTAAATGCATATCCTGTTTTGGAAAGCTTAAGTAATATCCTGATAGTTTTAGTAATTTAAAACTTTAACATATTATTGCATATTCGAGTATATCATGTTTTATGTTTCTCTGTTGAGAATGGATTGAAATTTTAATTCTTAAAACCTTTACAGTTTTACTGTAAAAACTATAGTAAAAAAATGAATTATAGAAATATAAAAAATGAGTTATTCTGAACTTTGGGCAAAGCAAGACATTGTGTTTCTGTGTTCTTGGAGTGGGTTTTACTGGTAAACTAGATCACTGATCAATAAATAATTTGTAGTAAAACTGAGTGATCTCTAATATAATTTTTAATCAGAATATAATATGAATATGAAACCACCTCTTTAAAAACTTTGAATTTACAATTTTTTAAATGTAGAGTTATTCTGAAAGAAATAAAATGAAGGTTTTCTGTATAAATTAGAAAATACTCTATATAGGTGAGATTTCTTAATAAGAGAAAACCAGTCAGCAGTTTGATGTTAGAAACTGTATTTGAGAATATAAGGTAAATGTATCTATATTCTAAAGCGTGGTGAAATAAGTCTTTACTTTGGAAACATTATATCCTTCCAGATTTTGAATCATATGCTGTGACAGGTAAGCCAGAAAGAATTCATGACTCTTAACTCCACCTCAGGCTGATTTTTGTTTTATTGACATTTATATAAATTTGCATGTGGCTCCCAATTGCTTTCCTTTCTGTATTAAGGCCACCCAGTCATATCACCTGAAGTCAAGGATCGAGTGATACTAATTTTAAAGTGAGCTATGATATAACTGTGCCTGTTTGGCTTTGTTTTAAAATAGAGGTTACTTTAAAATATGCTAGCCATAGATTTTTTTTTTTTTTAACCATTCTGAGAGGCTTAAGGGATCCTAGTTCCCCAACCAGGGGTCAAACCCAGGCCCCTTCAGTTCGAGCACTGAGTCCTAACCACTGGACCACCAGCAAATTCCCCAAAACCATAGTTGCTGAGCTTAAAAAAAAACAGCTGGAGATCATGTGGTTCACATCCCTCATGATACAGACAAAAGTGTTTAATCAGCTCTCCAGGCTCACACAGCTAATTGGCCAGAGCTAGATCTGCACTCAAGAATTTACTCTCAAGGCTAGGTTTTCATTTATTTCCTCAGTTCTCCTAAAGTTAAGAAATACCCATTATTTCAAGAAATAATATTTGGGACTTAAATTAATTCAGTCAGTTAAAACACAAGAGTCTTTCAGAGCCAACCTCCTTATAAGCTTGGATAAAGAGAGATTTTAAACTTTTTATTTATTTATTATTTTTGTCTGTGCCAGGTCTTAGTTGGGGCAGGATCTAGTTCCCTGACTAGGGATTGAACCTGGGCCCCCTGCATTGGGAGCACAGAGTCTTAGACACTGGACCACCAGGAAAGTCCCAAGAGAGATTTTAAAAATTAAGTACCTAAACCATTTCTTTAATTAATAAAATCAGTAACAATTTAAATTGTTAATAATTGATCAAACAATTTGCATATTCATTGACAGTAACACTTTGCAGCTGTCAGAATTACCTTAAACATATATGAGTCAATTCTCAGACTCATATATTTAAGATAATGCTGACATTTGCAAATATTAGGCTATATTTTAAGTTGAAAAGTGAAAGTGTTACTCACTCAGTGGTATCCAACTCTTTGTGACCCCATGGACTGCCAGGCTCCTCTGTCCATGTTATTCTCCAGGCAAGAATAGTGGCGTGGGTAGCCATTACCTTCTCAACCCAGGGATTGAACGCAGGTTTCCTAAACAATAAAATGATGGATTGTTTTTTGGAGAAGAAAATTGCTACACAAACATAAACAATGAGATGATGATGATATAGCCTACAGATACGTGAAACTTTTTTATGGTACTGTTTCAGCTCTATCTGTTCACCAGCTGGCTGCCCAGGGAGAGATGCTCTACCTGGCTACTCGAATCGAACAAGGTACTAGCCTATTCTTAAGAATGTATTTAAAACAAATTTAATAGGGTTTGTCAGATTTGTTATTACTTTATTTTTATAGAAGAGAGTATAAAAATAAAAAAGAAATAGTTGCAAAAAAAAGAAATAGTTGCATAATCTCACCAGGCAGATAACCCAATAGATACTTTTTAAAAAATAGTAATGTCATGTATAGAAGTTACAGCTTCACTTACCACCCTAGACTTTTCTCCAAATGCACACACTGTAAGTCTCTTTTATTTTCAGAAGACTTTTCTGGAGGATATTTCTATTTATACTTGGGGCTACATGTGAGAATGTGTGTGTGCTTTTTTGAAGAAAAATATACACACTGCATTGCACTTTACTTTTTTTCACTTAAATTCTGAGATATTTCCATGTAAACACACAAAGACTGTTTCATTCTTTTTTAATAGATCTGTGGTTTTGCATTGTATTGCATTTATCATATATGCTGTGTTCTTTATTTTTTAGTGAGTTCCCCTGGTAGTAGTTGATTCCAGTTTGTTTTTATTAAGTAACAATATTGTTGGCATTGTTTTGAAGTATACCCATAGGGTAGATTCCTACAAGTATATTTACTGAGTCAAAAGCTATATGAATTTTTATTTTTGTATACATATAACCAGATGTTTGCCCTGTTCTCACACCAGAGTTAGAGTTTCTACTTCCCCATAACTTCACTGACACGAATACTATCAGACTTTAATCTTTGCTGATCTCATGGGTATTTCATACTGGTTTTGTTTGCCTTTTTCAAATTATGGTCTATTTGAATTTCTTTTGTGTGAACTGCCTGTTTTATATTGATTTATATGAGCTCTTACCTAAATTAAAGAAGTTCACTTTTATGCTTTATGTTGCATATATTTTTTTCCAGTTTCCCATTTTTCCTTTGACTTTATGATATTTTCAAACAAAGCTTAACATTTTTAAGTGGTAACCTTTTATCCTTGTGACATCTAAGTTTTATATCTTGCCTAGAGATGATTTCCCACTCAAAGTTTATAAATTGACTCATGCCTTATTCTAGAATTTCTGTGGCTTCCTTTTTTACATTTCTTTAACCTATGTGGAACATGTTTTGGTGTAATGAGGTAAAGATAGAGCTTTACTCTTATTTTCATTTTTCGAAAAACTAGCCAGTTGGCCCAACATTATCAGTTGAATGCAGGGCATATGATTAAAGAGTGGTTTTTTTTTGTCATTCTTTGATAAGAAAGACTCATTTCATCATTTAGAATCATGTCATTCTTTTATAAGAAAGACTTATTTTATCTTTTGTTTGTTTATAAATATATGAAGGTCTTATTCTCAATATACTAAATAAATTTAGGGACAAAACTGTGGACCCAGTAGATTGAGTCTAGGGAACAAAAATGGTTTTGAGGTAGAATTGCATAAAACTGTTTTTCAAATCATTCAGTTTTCATTCACATTATAATACCAAAAATTTTAGAAAATTCAAAGGCAGCAATGTTAACTAGGGAGTAAAAATAGCTTTAATAAGATTTTGGACTTTCTGTAATATGTATTTATATAATGCTAAGGGCTATCATTAACCTAATTTTTATCATGATCCTCCCACTTTTACATTGAGATGAGCAAGATTTTATTCTGGATATTAGAGAAGTTAAATGATATGTCTAGAGTCACACTGCTGGAAAGCGACAGTCAGCATTCACACTCTGGTCTCCTGATTCTGAGTCCGGTGTTCTACGGACTGTCCTGTACCTAGCATTGTATTGTATCCAGTAGTTTATACTTTTAATAATGTACTGTTTGAACTCAACTATGTACATTGAGGCATATTTTAATACATTCAGACTGAAAATTGCAAAAACACAGTAGGAGTTCAGTGAACCCAAATCTGCACAATGTGAACCTCACTGAGTAATAGTCACCTTTTTAGAATGCCAGTGTTTTCATAGCAGTATTAATATGTGGTTGTTAAATTAGATCACAGAACTTGCTTTTCTTTTAAATAGAAAATGTTATCAACCACACGGACGAAGAAGGATTTACCCCTCTGATGTGGGCTGCAGCACACGGGCAAATAGCTGTGGTAGAGTTTCTACTTCAGAATGTAAGGAAAACGCCTCAGACAATGTATATGTACAGTTACTCAAGTTCAGTTAAGTATATAGTAGTTTTTGTATCTCCAGCCAGCTAGATGTAATGGTAGAGGACCAAAAGAAAAAGAAAGTTTACATGCTCTTCTATTCTTGTGGAACTTGGATCTAGTTAAACAGGCAAGTCTAGTCATTCATAAAGCAGTGAGAGAGAAGTGAATGCCCAGCCCCTACTAAACGCAATGGGAACAAAAGTCTATAGGAGAAGCTTCTTGGAGAAGATGTAATTTGGCTCCAAGTGGCAAGATAGTTAGGATCCAGGTAGAGGGAAGAGGAAGACCTTCAGACAACCTTGATAAGGGAGCATCCAGGAGTAGACGTTTGTGTTAGTACTGTGGTAACCCCAGAATGTTACCTGACCTATAATTATTATTGGCAAAAGTAACAATGTTCTTATTTTCAAAAAGCTGAGAAGTCTTTTGTCTCCATTCCCACTCCAGGGCGCTGATCCCCAGCTTTTAGGAAAGGGTCGGGAAAGTGCCCTGTCGTTGGCCTGTAGCAAGGGCTACACGGACATCGTCAAGATGCTGCTAGATTGTGGCGTTGATGTAAACGAGTACGATTGGGTGAGTCTGTAGTACTGATCTTTAGGTTTTGGAAAACTGTATTTTATTAAACACTTAGAAGAATAATTAACTACCTTTAGTTAATGAAACGCCTAGAAGAAAAAGTTACTGTCCTAATTTTGATTTAAGTATTGCTCACAAAATTTTAAAATTAGCTTAAACTACTTCTACATGCCCAATTCTTAGTAAAGCTTCACACAGCAGCACTAAATTATTTGAATCTTATCTTTGAAAAGCTAAATCACCTTTTTTTTCCCCCAGAATGGAGGGACACCTTTGCTTTATGCTGTACATGGAAATCATGTGAAATGTGTAAAAATGCTCTTAGGTAAGCAGATAAAAGTGGAAATATTTAGAAAATGCCATATGAAGACATTATTTTTTTACAAGCTGGCCTCACGGGAATCATGAGCTGTCACTGAATTCATTATGCACCCCTGGAGCAGCCCCTTCCCTGAGGTTCTCATGTAAGCCACAGCTCCATCACACAGCACGCCTGCAGTCACAGCATCTGTCCTTGCTGCTTTGCTTTCAGAGCTCACGTGTGAACCCATGGCTTTTTTCTCTTTTCCCTATCTACATTGTCTTTAAGCTGAAGTTCTGTCTGTAGTTGTGCATTAGGCTCTAGAGGATGCCTGAATGTTTAAAGTGTCTTCCCTCTGACCCACCAGAGTGAATTCTATGTCCTTCCTGGACTCTGTACTTTGTCAGACCATCCCGAAAATGCCTTCCAAATTTGCTAACAATCTGTCCTGCCATTTGCACATGAGCCACCATAGGCAAACATGTCCACGTTTTCATTTTGTTTATGTAGATGTTTCTATTTTGGTATAGAAAATGGAGCGGACCCAACAATTGAAACTGACTCTGGGTATAATTCTATGGATCTAGCTGTAGCCCTGGGCTATAGAAGTGGTAAGTGTTTTAGAATTCTCAGGTTCCATTTTAGTAAAGTTCTATAATAATAGAAGCCAGTGGTCTAAACTGTTCTCACCACTTGCAGTCATGGAACATGTATGTTATCCTAACTCCTGACATATACTTTTAATAGTGGGCAAAATCAACAGATTCCTAGAAAGTCTAGAAGTGAGTTTGTTACTGTTACTTTTCGCCCACCCAAATAAGTAGTTGCTGGAGGATAAGTGCACACCTATTTACAGGTGTGTTTAATGTTTTATAGCAGACTGTTTATACAGTGCTTGGTAGTTGCCCTCTCTCTGCTCCTTAGAACAACTTTGTAGTCTGGACTCTGCTTCAGTTCTAAAATTTAGAAACCAAAAACAGAAAAATCTAATAACTTGAACAACTATTAAAGTCAGTGATAGACTAAGTTTTACGTATTGCATTGTAATCTTATCTCCCTCAAACTATGAGTATATCCTAATTACAAATTATTTTAGGAAAAAGTTGGTGAGGTTAAGTTGAATTTGATAGTTTTTAAAATTTTGTAATTAGCATGCTGTAGTCTTGATCACCTGTCTGTTTTAGTTCAACAGGTTATTGAGTCCCATTTATTGAAACTGCTTCAGAACATCAAGGAGTAGACAGAGTCGTCAGAAAGTGTCGTCTGCCCTTCGGTTTACTTTTGGCCCTTATAAATGATAGTTTTGTTTACTTATAAATTTTTACCTCAGTTGCAATATTTACTGACTTTTAGTAAGTTTTAATAAGTATTCCTCTGAGTCACTGGTTTATAAAAAAGTTAATGTTGATGCTTTTTTATAAATGTGTTTTACTGCATATTTAAAATTATAAGTGAGTGTTTTGTGGCATGTAAATTTTTATGGTACAGATGGTTATCTGTCTTTGTATCAAGTGCTGTAATTTAACATTTTTGGAAATTATTCCTCCCTATTCATCTTCACTCTTGTATTAACTCATTGACTTTATATAGGGTTTGCTATAAATCCATAGGAAAAAAATTTGTTATTATTGAATTCAAAATGCACAGTGTGATTGTTTACAAAATGATGTTATAAATGAATAAAGTCCTTCTTTGCTGTTTGCCTGCAGGTTTTTCTTTATAATTACTTAAGATTATTAAGGGAATTGTTTAGGATTTTTAGTTTAACCCTTCTGTCCTGCCAGGGTACTCCATTAGATCAAACATACAGTTAAAATAAATTCAATGTAAGTTAATCAACGTAGACTTATTACCATTTCTAGAAGTATATTGAGAATATTTTTCTCCCGTGAATAAGCTTTTCGGTAGGAAAGTCGTTTGGGAAAGAGAACTCATTTCTTCAATAAAAGTCAGATGTTCTTTACTTCCACTCCAGGAGCACTATAAACTCACGCTGCACCAACATCTGGAAGAGAGAGCATGAGCTCGCAGTTGGTGTGACCACTGAGGGTGGGACTTGGGTTAAATCACTTCATCTGGAAAACAGGTGTGACATCAGTTACTACAGTGGGTTGCAAGCTACATAAACTTGATCTAGCTAATTTAAGCAAAAGGGAATTAATGGAAGGAAAAGCTGAAGAAGTAGGCAGTCCCAAAGGTTGAAACTAGACCGGCTATCTCAATCAGGAAGTCATGGCCAGCCATGTTGGGTGCCTCTTTGGTAATGCTTAAATCCCCTCATTGGTCATTGGGTTCAGGATTAAGTTTTCCAGGAGGCAGAAATCCATTTCCCCTGGATATAAATGCACCACTGTATGGAGTTGAGGGGAGAACGGAGATGACTGTTTAACAATCCATGCTTGCCCCCAGACCACCTGGAAGGCAGGAGGCACAGTCTCCTAAGGAAAACCACGGGGAGAAAAAAATAGATGTTCACTCCAAAGGCAAGCTCAGTCATATGTGAAAATAGTACTAGTGTTTCCCCCATGTCAGGCATATGCTTTAAACTGATTTTACCTTAAACCATTTACCCTTCCATTTGGTTCTTTTTCTTACTAAGGGCCCATATCCATGAAGTGTTAGTTCCTATTCATATTGTGTGTGTGTGTGTGTGTCTGTGTGGGTATATGTACTCAGTCACATCTAACTCTTTGTGATCCCATAGACTGTAGCTCGCCAGGCTACTCTGTCCATGGAATTTTCCAGGCATGAATACTGGGGCGGGTTGCCATTTCCTCTTCCAAGGGATCTTCCCAACCCCAGGATAGAACCAACAATCTCTTGCATCTCCTGCATTACAGGCCAATTTGTTACTGCTGAACCATAAAGTAACAAACTCCAGTGATCCATTTGGGTATATCACTCTTAAGTATTGTTTGCAAGTGCTCTCCACAACAGAACAGGCACCAAAAAACCTATGCTGGGATTGACTCTAAAATGACCACTTCTCTCCTGATCTGACTCAGGTTGACAACCAACAGATCTCAGAGAATATATTGAACAAAATTCCCCTTTCTAGTGCTATGCCTTTTAGCCCCAGGGTCCCTGATAACAAGCCCCAGAAAACTGTAAGAAATAGACAAAGTTAATTAAAACAACAGGAAAGATAATTAGGGCCAGTTATAAAATTCCTCTTTTAAAAATTAAATACCTTTTAGGCAGTGTTTGTTGATTGCATAAAAATTTATTTAGAGCTCATGTACCAGACACTGCTTGATGTGAGGGTTAAATATTGAGCAAAAACAGTCCCGCTGTCAAGGTGCTCACTGCCTAGTATAGGACTAGGGCTCATTTCTGCCACAGAGTGAAATACATTAGCAAAATTTTTCAAGGGACTTGCCTGGCCATCCAGTGGTTAAGAATTCATGCTTCCCATGGGAATTAGCTGTATGACTTGGAACTCAAACCGGGGTGCTGCAATGACCTGAAGGGGTGCAATGGGGAGGGAGGCTCAAGAGGCAGGGACACATACCTATAGCTGATTCATGTTGGTGTTTGGCAGAAACCAACAAAATACTATAAAGCAATCATCCTTCAATTAGAAATAAATTTTAAAAAATAGCAGATCAAGTAATCATCAAGTATTAAAGTACTGTTATCTCTACAAAGAAAATATTGACAATAAACATTTTGGATAGAAAAAAAAAAAAAAGAATCCTTGCTTCCACTGTAGGGGTGTGGGTTTCTCCCTGGCTGGAGAATTAAAATCCCACATGCTGCATGGAAAGATCAAAAAATTTAAAAAAAAACAACTCCAATTTTCAAAAGGTTAAAAACTTTTATGCTTATGTAAGTTTAAGTTGAACACCTGTCAAAGATTTTATTCAGCTAATTAACTGATAAAGAAACCAGTAAGATGTTAAAACTAATTCCAAGAGCTAGGTATTTTAGGCAATATTAGTAAAAGATTGCTGAGTTAGACACAAATCTAATTAATGTCCAACTAGGTCATAAACACTAACCTTTAATCATAAACGATAATCTTTTCCACAGGACAGAAATTACTGGCATCTCTAAGGACAGAAATCTACAAGCTAACATGTGACTTCACTAAAACTGGTACTTTCAATCAACAATAAACAGTTTTACCTCTTGATGAAAGTGAAAGAGAAGAATGAAAAAGCTGGCTTAAAACTCAACATTCAAAAAATGAAGATCATGGCATCTGGTCCCATCACTTCATGGCAAATAGATGGGGAAACAATGGAAACAGTGACAGACTTTATTTTCTTGGGCTCCAAAATCACTATAGATGGTGACTGCAGCCACAAAATTAAAAGATGCTTGTTCCTTGGAAGGAAAGTTATGACAAACCTAGACAGCGTATTAAAAGGCAGAGACATTACTTTGCAGACAAAGGCTACGGTTTTTCCAGCAGTCATGTATGGATGTGAGAGTTGAGCCATAAAGAAAGCTAAACACCCAAGAAATTGATGCTTTTGAACTGTGGTGTTGGAGAAGACTCTTGAGAGTCCCATGGACAGAAAGGAAATCCAACCTAAAGGAAATCAGTCCTGAATATTCATTAGAAGGACTGGTGCTGAAACTCCAATACTTTGGCCACCTGATGCAATGAACTGACTCCTTGGAAAAGACCCTGATGCTGGGAAAGATTGAAGGCAGGAGGGAAAGGGGATGACAGAGGATGAGATGGTTGGATGGCATCACTGACTCAGTGGACATGAGTTTGAGCAAGCTCTTGGAGATGGTGAAGGACAGGGAAGACTATCAAAGAGTTAGACACGTCTGAGAGGCTGAACAGCAGTGAGTTGGATTAAGCAGTCTCCCCTGGATTAATTGATTAATTCTCAAATTTTAGTGTGTATCAGAACCATCTGTTCAGTTCAGTTCAGTTGCTGAGTCCTGTCTGACTCTTTGCGACCCCACGAACTACAGCATGCCAGGCTTCCCTGTCCATCACCAGCTCCCAGAGTTGCTCAAACTCATGTCCATCATGAGTCAGTGATGACATCCAACCATCTCATCCTCTGTCGTTCCCTTCTCCTGTCCTCAATCTTTACCAGCATTAGGGCCTTTTCCAATGAATTGGTTCTTTGCATCAGGTGGCCAAAGTATTAGAGTTTCAGCTTCAGCATCAGTCTTTCCAATGAATATTCAGGACTGATTTCCTTTAGGATGGACTAGTTGGATCTCCTTGCAGTCCAAGGGACTCTCAAGAGTCTTCTCCAACACCACAGTGCAAAAGCATCAATTCTTCGGAGCTCAGCTTTCTTTATAGTCCAACTCTCACATCCATACATGACTACTGGAAAAACCATAGCTTTAACCAGATGGACCTTTGCCTACAAAGTAATGTTTCTGCTTTTTAATATGCTGTCTAGGTTGGTCATAGCTTTTCTTCCAAGGACCAAGTGTCTTTTAATTTCATGGCTGCAGTCACCATCTGCAGTAATTTTGGAGCCCCCCAAAATAAAATCTCTCACTATTTCCACTGTTTGCCCATCTATTTGCCATGAAGTGATGGGACCGGATGCCATGATCTTCATTTTTTGAATGTTGAGTTTTAAGCCAACTTTTTCGCTCTCCTCTTTCACTTTCAACAAGAGGCTCTTTAGTTCTTCTTCACTTTCTACCATAAAGGTGGTGTCATTTGCGTATCTGAAGTTATTGATATTTCTCCCAGCAATCTTGATTCCAGCTTGTGCTTCATCTAGCCCGGCACTTTGCATAATGTATTCTGCATATAAGTTAAATAAGCAGGGTGACAACATACAGCCTTGACATACCCCTTTTCCTGATTTGCAACCAATCTGTTGTTCCATGTGCAGTTCTAACTGTTGTTTCTTGACCTGCATACAGATTTCTCAGGAGGCAGGTCAAGTGGTTTGGTATTCCCATCTCTTGAGGAATTTTCCACAATTTGTTGTGATCCACACAGTCAAAGGCTTTGGCATAGTCAATAAAGCAGAAGTAGATGTTTTTTTTGGAATTCTCTTGCTTTTTTGATTATCCAGTGGATTTTGGCAATTTGATCTCTGGTTCCTCTGCCTTTTTTAAATCCAGTTTGAACATCTCGAATTTCACAGCTCACATACTGCTAAAGCTTGGCTTGGAGAATTTTGAGCATTACTTTACTAGTGTGTGAGATGAATGCAATTGTGAGGTGGTTTGGAGAAGGGAATGGCAAACCACTTCAGTATTCTTGCCTTGAGAACCCCATGAACAGTATGAAAAGAACCA